TAAAGGTAAAGGTTTCCCCTTGACATTAAGTTTAGCCGTATCTGACATTTTTAAGCTGAAGAGCCTGTGTTGTCCGCAGACACCTCCAAGGTCATGTGGCCAGCACGATGCATGGAGCGCCGTTACCTTCCCACCACAGCGGTACCTATTGATCTACTCACATTTGCATGTTTTCAAACTGCTAGGTTGGCGGAAGCTGGATTTGAACCGCCGACCTTGTGGTCAGCAAGTTCAGCAGCTCAGCGGTTTAACCTGCTGCACTACTGGGGACTCACAGAGGGCTGCCATCAATATGTTTTTCCAAACACAGCATAGATACTCAATTATGAGATATAAATTGTGCTAAATAGATTGACAAAGCCAACCCCGACTCCGTCAAAGATGGCAGAGGTACCTACACAGGTAAGGAGGGCTTGAAAGCCCCCCACACATGACCTCCCCCCCCCCAAACGCATAAGGAGGAGAGTGCCAAGGCACGGCGGCCTACCCGCATCTTCCTCTGGCGCGGACACAGGTAGAGGTCGAGGCAGCGCTCAAAGCGTTCGTGGATGAAGCGGGGGAAGGCCGGCACGCGGCGGAGGCAGTCGTGGCGCTGCGGGAGGAAGCTCAGCTTGCGGTCGGCAGGGTCCTCTTGCTCCCAGGCCAGTTTCTGCAACAGAGAGAGAGATACCAGGGTTGAATGAAAAGTAATGCCTCCACCTTCGTTACTTGGGTGTGGATGGGAATATTTTAATAAACCAAACACAGAAATAAATCCTTAGAATGTGCTCTTGAACGACCACGATTCACTTTCCCACATAATCACCAGACAATCGGATACATTTCTGCCAACGATGAAGAAGTTTTCTGAAGCCATCACGGAAGAAGTTTGGTTTAGAGAATTGCTTGAAGTATACTTTGTACAAGAGGCTAGTACATTTAATGATATAGTACTACTAGCTGTACCCGCCACGCATTGCTGTGGCCAACTTTCCCTCCCTCTTTCTCTCCTTCTTTCCCTCCTTCCTTCGCTCCCTCTTTCCTCCTTCCC